GAAGTCGGCCTTCGACTTCCGACCCGCGGGCGCCTGAGGAAGGAAAGCACTAAGTGACGCTCCGGTGGCTGGCCGCGACCATTGTCCCTGTCATTGCCTCTTCGGGGGTCCAGACTGACTTACCTGGGGCGAGGGGCGCCTCGAGCACCCCCAGCAGCAGCAGCAGCGCCCCTAAGGTCATGGCTCTGCCGCTTTGCCCAGTGAGTTTGTCCCGAGAGCGGCCGAAGCGGCCAGGACAGGGGAAGTGACGAGGCGCCCAGGAATGTGCACCTGTTGTCAGGGGACCAGCCGCCAGCCCACCCGCCCCGCCCTCTAGACTTGGTCCCTCCCGGAGCAACTGCAGTCGCCCTCCACTCAACAAACGCCAGATAACACTCCAGTTGTATAAATCATCTTTAATTAGAGAAAGCGTGGAGACCCAGTCCCCTGAGAGCAGAGCCAGGAGACGGGCGGAGCCTGAGCGGGGTTTGTGTGAGGGAGGGGGGCATCTCTTGCAACAAGCCAGAAGTAAAAGGGCCTGAGGAAAAGTGACCTGCCTTTGAGCACTAGCCCCTCCCTTAGGACTTCCAAAGATTAGGTGGAAACCACCTACAATCTGCTAGACTCGGAATCTACGCCCTATTTTACTAGAGGTCCTCGGTTTTCAGGTGCTTTTTGGGTACTTAAAACCCAGCTGAGGTTATAAGCTGTAAAGTAAATTCTATTTCGTTAGAAGCTCTGGGGATATATGAGGTCTGGGAGCCCAAGAGGCTCCTCATCTCCTAGGCCTGATCTGTAGGAGGGAGAGTTGGACTTATTGCTGAGTTGGGTGAGCATCTCCTTGGTGGGAGGGGGCATCAAGGCTGTGTCTCTGTTTGTCCTTTCTAATTCTAGAGTCATTATCCTTACAGACCTCAGTTTTCTATGGTTGTTTGAGACAGGGTATCACATAGCCCAGCCTGGTCTTGAACTCCTTATGTAGCCCAGACTAGCTCTGTATTCCCAATTTTCCTCCCTCCACCTCACAAATGCACCATACCGTATCAAGCAAAGGACCTCAGCTTTAAAAGAGACCTGGAAGGAATTCCTGCTGAGGTAGCTAAGTATTCATGTCTCCCCAAAGCAGACACAAATTCAATCAAAGCACGGCATTTTCTTCCTCTCAGCTTCCTCACACGAGCCAGGTATATTTTTCCAGAATTCCTGTATCTTTCCCTAGAATCTTGTTTTCCTGGCAAAACCCCAGATGGAATGCTAAAACTAGAAACCATATAGAAGTAAGGTTAGCATTCTAAGCATTCTAGAGGAAAGAAGATTTTTAAAAAACTATGTAGGAAAAATAAGCATTCCCCCCCCATTGGCTTTTCAGACAGGATTTTGCTATTATTGCCCAGTATGGCCTTCAGCTCGAAGTCCTGACCCAGTCTTCCAGGTGCTAAATTACAGGCATGTACCACTAAGCACAGCTCAGAACCAATTAGTTCTTAATGAATCATAGCTGAGTTCTATCCATAACTCATTCTTAAACAACCATTAGAGGAAGTGGAAGGGTGGGTTTAAAGCTTACTCTAGTATGGCTATACAGGCCCTAGTTCCATCCTGGAAAAAAAGGGCTGAGAGTCATGGTTTATGTCCTAGAGCTGAGATTAGGAAGAAGTATGGCTCCAAAAAGGTCTAGAACACCAGGCTCTAGAATTGGGTGTCTCTGGGATAAGAAGGTTTAACATATGGTGTGACCTGAGGCTGGTTCCAATTCAGACCAAGGCCAATGGCTACATTAGGAGGCTCAAATTCAGCCTCTTTTTTTTTTTTTTTTAAATCGGGGGTGGGGTGGGTATCCATCTAGGTCAAGAATGGAAGCATAAAGGATCCATGCCTGGATTCCAATACAGAACACAGAATGGCCCCGGCTGGGGTGTTCAGCTGGATCTGAACCTGTTCAGATCAAGGCAGAAGGTAGAGTGGGAAGAAAAGAAAACTAGTTCTGAGTACCAGTGGGCCACCTAGAAAGCTGTGGCTTCGTGGCGATGTAAAGGAGTTCATGGCTTCAGAAACTGGCTCAGCCAGGGCAAAGAGGATTAATTCCCTTGCTTTGTCAGTTTTGGAACTCCCAGCGCCATTTCAGGAAAAATTGGGGTTCTTTGGGCGGGAGGAGTTAATGTGAAAAGAAATAAGTGATCAGCCAGGATTATTTCAGGTACCTCCATCTTGGAACCTCTCCTAGGCCCTGGGATCTAAGGGCTCAGCAACTCCAGAAGTCCCAGCCAGTCCCTAAGCTCCCTCAGGATACAGCACCTGGTGAGACCTGGCTGCTTAGGGCATGTGTATGGCAACAGGGGTGACAGCAGCAAGGCCTGGAGCAGGGCTAGGAGACAGGCTGTGGTGGTGGCTGGTTCACCGGAAGTGCAGGGAGCCTCCAGTCCAGGGACTACATCTCAAGGGGCAGGGGGACTGGAAGGGGAGGTCTCAGGGACACTGTGGAGAGAAGGCTCCCGGTACATGGCCACTGTGAAGGGGAGAGAGAGAGGAGCAGGGAAGGAGAATTAGGCACATAGAGAGCCAGAAAGAATCAAAGCTCTGAGAGGCCTCCCTTCCCTTACACTCACTCATCCTTGGAGAACCCCAACCCAAATGAAGAGAGCTCCCCAATCCCCAAAGCCTAAAGCCTTCCTGTCTTGGCCTATCATAACAGCATCTTGTTTAACATTTATGGCCTGGGGTGTGTGACGCTAAATATTCATGTCAAGGTCAATACCCTCCCACATGACCCACCTTTTCTGGAGCCCATACCCACCCTCCAGGAGCTTGGGCACAAAGTGGGCAGCTGCCTTGGTCTTCTTGACTCGGTTTCCCTTCATGACCCGGCCCTCCTTGTCCAGGCCTAGGTACCAGGCCCGGCCAGAACGACGCTGGCGATAGAGAGCAGAGGCATACAGGACATAGTAATTCTCAAAGACGCACTCCTTAAAGCGACACTCTGCTGTGAAATGTGGCTGAGGAACAAAGATCCAGAAAGAGGAATGGACACACACACACACCAGACACATACACACACACACACCAGAGACACACACACACCAGAGACACACACACACACACACACACACACACACACACACACACACACACCAGAGACACACACACACCAGAGACACACACACACCAACTGGCAGAAGGGAACCCTTGGGAAGAAACAGCCAATATGCAATCCATACATTTTTTTCTAAAGGAGGATGGCAACCAATGAGGCCATGCAGAAATCAGAGCACAGAGAGAGAGAGTAAGGAAAAGCCTGGAGGGCCATCCAGGGGTAAGAACTAGACCAATAGGGGCTCTGGAAATAAGATCTCTACTCTGCATTCCCAGTCTCTTACTACTTCCTATCCAGAGTAAAGGTGATAGGCTGAGAAGTGGGGGGGATGTCTGGAAGAGTCAGACATCCAAAGATCCTGGGGCACTTTAGGATAAGCGGTGCAAATAGAGACTGGATGTACTCTCAAGGACCACTTTGGAACAGGCAGTGATCAGCCAAAGCAGGAAGGACAGAGTCCTGGGTGCAAGTCCTGTCTGCAGCAAAGGATGGTCGCATGCTGACAGTGTCCCCAGTACCCCAGGCCACTCAGCAGCATTGTCTTACCGAGCTGTACAATAGCCCCTCAGCATTCATGGCCATGTAGTGACCCAGCTTGGCACTCTGGATGGTGACTACGCGGAGCCCCACAGGAATCAAATTGAAGTGGGCTGGGGGAGTAGAGAGCAGATGTCAGGACTCAGTTGCCTCACTCTCCTCTGAGTCCCCTCCGAACTCCAGCTCCACTGCTCCCCTTGGGGCTCAGGAAAACAGACTGAAGACAACAAAGCCTGTCATCTCCTGTCCCTGGCTCCCCACTCCCCACCCTGCAGTTGGCTTCCCCTCTCACTGAAGGAGCTGGTGTCCTCTGGGGTGCCCTGGATGCTCCCATCCGGATTCGCCTGGAGGTAGAAACCCTGGCGGCAGAACAGTTTGGTGACGATGCCTTTGAGCTGAGGCTCTGGAGAGAGAGACATTCATCTTTGAAAAACGACATCTCTGTTCCCAGAAACATTCCTACACTTGGCGGGATCACAGGCTAGAAGGAAGGGGAAATGAAGAGAAGACGGTTCCGGGCCCCAGCTCTCTTACCCTTCAAGCAAGCGTCCTCCCACCCCTCTTTGATTCCTGAGGAAGCTGGGGTGTGGGTCTCTTCCGCTTTCTCTAATCATGAGCGTCAGCTTAATTTATTGAAATTTATTTAAATGGCTTAATTCCTTCTCCCCACCAGAGTTGGGGGAGGGGGCAGAGAGGAGGTAGAAGAGAAAGATATGAAAGGTAACGGACAGTGCTAGAGACGCAGGGCAATGTGTTTGCAAATGTCGGGGTGAACAGCAAGGTGACCATAGGGAAGGGGCTCCCCCTCAGAAGCAGGGGTGGCACTGGGTTTGACTGACGCTGACTCAGCACCTGCTGCTGCAGCTGCCGCTTGCTTGGCGCGGGCCTTGCTTTGGCTCAGCGCCGGCTTGTCTGACACTGACCCATCTGTCTGTCTGTCTGTCTGTCTGTCAGTCAGTCAGCTGGCTCAGGAGGGTCCAATTCTCCGTGAGACTGAGCCTCTAACCTTCAGCCAGGTAACTAGCCTGGGATAGAAGGCATTCATACCACATCAAGGATAAGGAAGAGGGGACAGAGATGGAGAGGCAAGCTGCATCACGTGGGGGCTGGGTCCCACTCAGAGGGTGGGCTGCGGACTGTACCACTACCTACCGTTGATGGTGCGGAAGGAGGGCGCAAGGGGCTACCCCTAGGGGAACCGGCAGCGGCCTGGAGAGAAGCCAGAGGGACTCCCTAACTGTCGTACCTGGACGGGAATCACATACCAACCCTTACACCTCTCCTTTCCCGCGGCTTGCTCTCTGCCGATTTTCCTCTTCCCCCTTGTAAGTGGTACGACCCCCCCAAGTCTCTGTGCAGGTCCTCAGCATGAAGTGTGTGTGTGTGTGTGTGTGTGTGTGTGTGTGTGTGTGTG